ACTGTGTAGTCCTGCTGCAAAGACTGAAGGTGATTATACATCCGCACCACTTTGAATACTCCGATAAATGTCACCCGTATGTGGTAGTCAGTGTCGTGGGAAGAACAGAGTAGCAGTTTTCGTATATGTGGCGTTTTTCACTCTGGAGTCAGTAGTGAAAGAAGTCATGGAAAGTTTATTGGAGATGAGGTTTGACCTTGGTCTTAAAGGACAGAATTGATTGGGATTAGTAATAGAAGTCAGAAACACATTCCAGACAGGACCCTGCAGGGGTGGGGGTGTGGGTTTGTATCTGATCCTCTGGCATTGTTTTCTCCGCTGGGGCTGATTTCTTTCCTTCTTAGCTCCTTGCTTCTTTTCATCATCTTAAAATGATGAAAATCATCTATTGCCATGACAACACAATGCAGTCATGAGCTCTTGCGGCTTTGCTCCTTATTCAGAAGTGATGTCTGTCAAGGCCATTTGAGCAAATATTTCTCATTCTACTCCTATCACTGTCTCTTTTGCTTCTATTAACCAGCTCATAATGGGATTGATAAGCTATCAATAATAATTAGATACAGTGGTAGACAAATCCCAGTAGAATGACATAGAAGCCTGAGGAATCACAGTAGCAATCTCAAACGTGTGCTCCTTTCTAAAGTGACTCATTTGGCGGCCCCCCACTGTTCTCTAATCTGCATACAGTGTTTAGGTGGAGCACAGAGATTTCTAACAATAGAAGAGATTAGAAGCAGAGCCATCAAAATAATTCACCTTTCCCAAACCAGGCGCATGCAAATCCAAAGGAGTGAATAAGTCAGCATTAAGCCCTGTTCACATTTGCTAGTTAGGCTCCAGGTCTTCTCACTACAAAGGGGGACCCATGAGGAGTTTATGCTCCTCTTAGTGCATACAGGTATGACATGAAACTGACAGGCAGGACTCCTTGGCCTCTTGGGTGGGGTGGATAGACTCACGGCCTTTCGGGTTTCCATTAGGGAGCGGGACTTAAATTCAAAGCCATTCTTCAGGGACAGTGACTGACTGATTCGTGAAGAGACCATTGTACCTTCAGAAATTCCAGTTAAGCTAGCTTCTCCACAATTTTTTTTTTTTTTTTTTGAGACAGGGTCTCACTATGTAGTTCAGGCTGACCTTGAACTCACAGCAATCCTTCTGCCTCAGCCTCCCGCGTGCTGGGATTACAGGTGTGTGCCACCATGCCCAGCCTCCCCACAATTTCTGAATTTGAGTCAAGAATTCCAAATGAGCCCAATTTGTATTTGAGACCAGGTTACAGTTTGATCAAAATTAATATTGTATGTTTTGCTTGTTTAACTTGCTCATTTTCTTAACTACTCAGAACCTAGTGAAGTATGAGCCACAAGAATTGGTCAGATCCACGTTTACCTGTGAGGTACACTTAGCAAACACATGTGTTTTCTCTCCAAATGAGTAGTGGATCAAATCCTATTTTAACTGCTAAGGGATCCTCACAGTGGCCCTGTACTTCTGTAAGTAATCGCTCTGTACTCCCTAATAGGTTTCGGGTAGGCTGCACTGGCTGGATGTAACAGGTTACCCAGCCTGCTGTCCAGTGAGTAAAGGGGCCACAGAGCTAGGACCAGAGCACTGCCCACAGAACATACACCTGAGCGGGACATGTCCGCAGTTTGTGAGAAAGCCGAGGAGCTGCTGTGCTCTAGGACCTGGGACCAGGAGCTAAGTGGAGTCATGGTCCCCGAGGGGGGGGGCAGGAGGGCTCCCGTCAGCAGTGCCACAGCACGCAGCATCACACAGCTGTGCTAGCAGCAGTCTTTTCCCTGTACCTGCCCACCCAGGAGACAGCCACAGTGTCACCAGGCCTTGTCTTTCTAAGGGGCTCCCCTTCCTTCCCTTCCTCCTTACATTCCCTCCTTTACACTCTCCAGCTTCTCACGCATCTCACTAGTCTCAAATACCTTCTAGGCTCCGGGCTCCTGCCCGGAGCCCACTTTCTAACTCCTGTGCCCGCTCTCAGCTGCCCCCACTGGATGTCTGGTTTTTTTGTTTTATTTTTGTGGTACCAGGGATCAAACCTAGGACCTTGCGCTTGCCAGGCAGACACTTGTGCCACTGAGCTATATCCCCGGCCCCCCACCCCACTGGAGGTCTGCAGCCAGCCCTGCTGCAGCTGTACAGCCCCGAGCACCTGAGACCAAATCCCATTTACTTTTCTGTTTGTGAATGAATGAGCCAGTGGGCTTTTTTAAACTGAGGTATCATTCATGTACTATATAATTTCCCCATCATTCAGTGCCATTTTATATGTTCATTTTTGAGATTATGATAAAATATATGACATAAAGTTTGCCATTTTAAGCATACAATTCAGGCAACATTAATTATACTCATAGTTTGTATAGCTACCACCATTATTGATTTCTAAAACTTTTCTATCACCCCAACCATTAGAAATTCTGTCTCTGTTACCAACCCCCACTTTTCCTCTGCCCCCCGCCTTCCCGCCTGTATTGTTTGTATGAATTCACCCATTCCAGATACTTTATACTTTATTTGTTTCTGGCTTATTCCCCTTGATGTTTCTAGGCCCTTCTGTACTGTGGCAGGTATTAGACTGGATGACATCCTACTGCATGGGGACAACATGTGTGTTCATCCATTCCTCCGTGGGTGGACGCTCAGATTGTTTCCACCTTTTGACTATTGTGGATAATGTTGCCGTGAACACTGCTGTACTGAAAAGTACCTGCTTGAGTCCCTGATTTCATCCCTAGGAATGGAATTGCTGGATCATACAGTAGCTCTGTGTTTAGCTTTTTGAGGAGCAAGCATAGGGGCTTTTCTGCATTTGCAAGTGAGAAATGTGGGCCTTCATTAATTAAAATTTATTTCATCTAAGTTAACATGAGGAGCTGTAAATATATGCAACCAGTTCATTCTTCCCCATCTTTTCGGTTCTTAACAATTATCTGCATGACTCATTTGACAGTTAATCATGGAATGCTTTGTGACATCCATTATTCTCCTTAACTGGTAATTTTAAAGCTTTCGCTGTTTAACTTGTCATGTTGTTATACAGTCTCCCACTGAGATTTTAATCTTCTCGAGGGCAGAGACGTGTATTGTATTTCTCTGTGCAGGTATTCCCTGCGGCACCTACCAGCAGCATAGATCTCTGGGATACCTGGTGACTTGTAATTATCTTTCATAGCATCTTCTGGTTTATGCACAGGGTATGGAAGAAGAAACTTGCAGTGAGTCCTTATGCAGACAGAACTCCCCTCACCTAGATAGCTTTTCTGCAAACCCCACATGTTCCATAAGGTGACACAACTGGTTATAGTGCAGGTTGAGTGTCCCTTATCCAGAATACTTGGGACCAAAACTGTTTTGGATTTCACTTTTTTTTTTTTTTTTTTTTTTTTTCAGATTTTAGAATATTTGCATATCCATAATGGGCTACCTTAGGGATGGGAGCCAAGTCTAAGCATGAAAATCATTACGTTTCATACACAACGTATACACATAGTCTAGAGGAAACTTTATGTGCTATTTTTTACTGTGCCTACATTTTGATTGTGACCTGCTTTATGAGGTTAGGTATGAAATTTTCCACTTAAAATATTGTGTCAGCTTTTAAAAAAAATATGTCAGCACTCAAAACACTTTGAATTTTGGGATTTTGCATTTTTGAATTAGGGATGTTCAACCTAAAATATAACCACAGTAGCCAACATTTCTGGCATGCTTGCATTACTGTGTGTTGCACACTAGTCGCACTATCAAAGTGCTCTACTTGTATTTTCTCACGTAGTTCTCAGAACAGGCCTGTGACATGGGCACTTTATTACTCACATGTTACTGACCATGGGAGGTTGAATAACCGCCCCAGACCTTGTCACCAGCAAAGGCCAAAGTTAGACATCTGCCTACAGCCGTATTCATACTCAGACGCAGTGAGGAACCTTCTGCCCTGAAAAAGAGAATGGTGCACAGGCTGAGGGAGTGGGGCCAGGCCTGGCATGGCCTTCATCACACCAGCCCTCCAGTCTCTCACAGCCCTGCTCCGTTCTTGTGCATAACCTTCTGTCTGGCTGCCCCAGACCCTAGGCATGCCCACTTCTGTGCTGCCCCGTGGGTGCTAGACATCAGTTTTGGAAAGAGCCTGGACCCTCACAGGGTCCTTGGGAGTCCATCAGACTCTGTAAATGCCAGCTTCTGCCCTTACCAAATTAGTAGGAAACTAACGAGTTTGCTTAGGCAATTGTTATTTCTTGAAATGATCAATATACAAAAATAGAAGGGCATCCATTTTTAAAACCTTGTACAATAAGTAATAAAGTCCACATCCGTCATCCAAGCAGCTGGGAGGCAGACAGGATTGATTCCCAAAATGACTACACTAATATAAATATCTGAAAAGAAGGTGCGAGCCAAGAGCCACCCTAGATGAATTCCAGGTAGCAGCTAAAGGCCTGCGTGGCCTCAGCGTTCAGGACCTTTCCACCAGGCCTCCCCTACAAAGAGTCAGAGGTCCTGGGTGGCCTTCACACAAGGCAAAGAGCTAGCAGAGGATGTCAGAGCCTCCCTTGTCACCCGTCCCTACAGCTGCAACCTGGTTTGTTGGATATCACATTCCCTCCTCCTTAAGCTTTCCCTGTCTGCACAGCGCTGGTCTAAACTTAACCATTTCCCTTCCAGCATCAGTGTTCTCCTAAACTAGGTCTTCTGACGTGGTCCTACATCTCCTCCCAGTGACCCAGAATGGGTTGCCACATAGCTCAACAGAGTCTGCCACACAGGGAGAGTCCAGGCTTGCGTGTAAGCTCCGCACCTTCCAGAAACACCAGCCCCTTCCTCCTGTTTCACATGTGCCCCTGGCACTGCTTAGACAGGTGATGTTTGTGGGCCCAGCCTCCCTCACCTGTCCCAGAGCGTGCAAGGGGCATTTCACACATGGATTCTCTGTAACTGCCTTTTCACCAGTCTGGCTTCTCTCTCTACCTTCACAGCACTGTCTCCAAGCAAAGGAAAAACGTCATCAGCTGTGTCACAGTCCATGACTCTCCGTACTCCGACTCCTCCAGCAACACCAGCCCCTACTCTGTGCAGCAGCGCACCGGGCACAACACCACCACCTTCGACACCAAGGGAGCGCTGGAGAACCACTGCACTGGCAACCCCCGAACCATCATCGTGCCCCCCCTGAAAACCCAGGCCAGCGAAGTACTGGTGGAATGTGACAGCCTGGGGCCAGGTAATGGGGGAGACATCTGTCTTGAGACTGCTTTTCTTGTCTTCTGCTAAAATGTGAGGATCAGGAAAATAGAAAGCACCCAGTTTTTGCAGATGGTCCTTATGTAGCACTTTGTTCAAGTAGTCAAGGTAGAAATCTTTTTTTTTATTATTGAGATGTGGTCTTGCATGTAGTGTGGGCTAGTCTTGAACTCACTATGTAGTCCAGGCTGGTCTCCAACTCCCGGCAGTCCTCCTGCCCCAGGCTCCCATGTGCTGAGATTGCAGGCGTGAGTCACCACATGAAGTACATCTTGGGTGTATTGAGCAGCATCCATTCAGTATTGCTCCTGCCTTAGCTCACACTGGACAGAGTTGGAGACTAACCCAGAAGAAACCTGCATCTGCTTTTCTACTACATGCTGTTACAGCTGCAGCCAAGCAGTGCCTTGAGGGTGACCCTGTTTCGAGGGGAGGCACACACGCTGCTAAGATTGTCTAGATGGCAGAAGTGGCTCACAGCTAGACAAATGTGAGGCGAGACCCCCTGTCTATCACCAGAACTTGCTGCGGGAAATGGGACCTTCCTGAGCGGTCAGCACACATCCAGCCTGGAAGGGATGGGCTGTTCCGCTGCTGCCGCCAGGGTGCAGAGTAGTGCCTAGGAGGCTTCTGTGGGGACTCTTCTGGCCTAGGACAACACCTGTGACAGCTCCCTTTTGGCACCAAGGACTGTGCTTGAAGGGGAAACAGGAGGAGCCTCGGGCTCTTTCTCCCTCAGTCAGCACCCCAACCTAAAGCAGCAGGGGTGCAAGGCTGAGGAAAAGCCCAGCAGTCAAATTCCAGGCAGGCTGGGGCCAGGCCACTCAAGGCCAGACACCTGCCCTTGAAGCTGTCTTCTCACCCTCAGAGTTCCTGGTTCCCCAAGCAGGGCCTGGAGCTCATCATCGCGGCTGGGAACGCACCCCGTCCCCTGTGCGTTAGCCAGGACACAGGGCCCGTAGCAGCAACCAGTGACCACTAGTATTGCTAGCACGCACCGAGTGCTTTGGCACATGCACTTACTAGTGAGCAGCAGATATTGGCAGTCTACATGTGGGAGCCCACTGAAGCTTCCATGGAGCTACTACTATTTCCCCAGTTTAATGGGTGAAAAAATGCAGGTGCAGAGAGGGTGGCCCAGCTGGTCCAGGGCCCTGTGACCGGACTCTGGTGCTCTAAGTGCTCTCCCCACCAGGCGCAGGCGGGCCATGAAGGAGCAGCTCTTCCCAGGTGGCCGGCCCAGGCGTGACCAGTGTGCTCCTTTCTAGCCCGCAAATCCCTGCGTGACACCGACCTCAGCTTGAGCCATGGGTGCTTTGCCCAGCCCTGTGGGTCCAGCCCTGGGGGAGGAATCACTAGGTGACTCTTTGTCCCTTTGGGGCCCCTCCTGTCCTACCACCTGCCGAGCTCTGATCTAGCCCCAGTCTCCTGGCCCGCAGTGACAGTAGCAGGGAAATGCCTGGCTCTGTCTAGTGCTGTCCTTCACAGCCCCAGGCTGTCACCCCCTTGAGCTTCTTGTCCTCACCTGGAGTAGTCATGAAATGCCCGGCGGGGGGAATAAGCGCAGAGAGGGGTGCCACGGCTGGGCCCAGACATCGCGCTCCTTTCACTGCTGCAGAGCAGGAGAGCACCCAGCTCAAGCATGGCAGCACACAGCTGCTGAGTGAGGGACAAACAGGCTCTGCTGGCAGCCCACGCTCGACTTGCTCATTTCAACCCCATGCTGGGTCCACAAGAAGCCCTCCTGCCCCCAGGTTTTGGGGACCATTGGGAGCCTAACTAGGTTGCCATTGGCACAGCACTGGGTCTCAGCACCCTGATTCCCAAGCACAGATCTGCTCTGCCATGTCCAGGTTGGTGCTGGGCTCCCAGAAAGCTTAACGGGCCAAGTCCCAGCACCCTGCAGAAGTACTCTGACACAGCGGGTAGGTGGGGCTCAAGGCTGCCACTGCACAGTCAGCTTTGTGGCCTCTGGTAGCTCCCTCCCTCCCCGGTAGAGCAGCGCTCCCTGTACTGGGGCAGGTCTGATGGGGAGAGGGAACCCTCTGCCTGTCTCTGGGTTTCCGGTTCCCTTTGCCTTTCTCCTGGGGTTGAGGCCTTCAAAGGCACTCTTCTGTCTTCATCAACAATTAATATCAGCGCCCTCTCTTACGTGCCCTGTTCATCTTTGACTTTGATTTCATCACCTTGGGACTTGCCATAGAATTGATCCAGCCCGGTTCAATCAAGGGCCTGAGTCTGATCTTGTGTACAGCCCATTATGTTTAACTCTTTCTACCCCCAAAATGACCGGTGTCAACAGTTTTATGCCAGCTGCCATGGGACACCTCACCGAGTCAATGGTAGGCTTTTTTTTTTTTTCCCCAGAGGCCCCTGTATAAACCTCCTGAATTTTTGCTGCCAAACAGCCTGAGACATGGACCTGTAGAAGTGAGGAAACTCATTGCCTTTCTCTGTGAACATGTGCCCCCTCCCCTTGGGCAAAGCCTCCTTCAGTCTTGTTCTTGCACTAGAATCAGTGAGTGTGGCCTTTGCCTGTCATCTGCCTCCGCCAGCAGGGACAGGCATCCCCGGGAAGCCAGCTGCTCCCAGCCAAGCCCAGGACCCCCGCCCCTGCTGGCTCACCTGCCCTGCTTGTGCAGGGCCGCCTGCCTATACTGCCTCAGAGTTTTCTTCCCAGTTCCCCTGCCTGTAAGCAGTAGAAACCGTCCTGCTACCACAGCACCCGGGGGCCCCTGCTCACGGGACCTGGTGGATGGTACTGTGAGCCACACAACACAAGTCTGCAGGCCTTTCTTGCTCCTGCTGGCATCTCAGCCAAGTGTTAGGCCACCCTCCCATGGAGGAACTGAGATGTAGGCACCTCAGGGCAGGCAGTGGTGGTCCTGCCTGCCTGGCTTTGCCCCAGCCCCTGCTAAAAGCCCAAATGAGCACCGACCACTCGCAGCAGGGCTCCCCCAGACCGAGGTGAGGGAAGATCGCTCCACACCAGCCCCTTGTACTCTTAGACCTCTGGTCCTGCTCAAGCCACCCACCAGCACCTTCACTGCTTATCCTCCTGCCTCAGCCTTTCAGCTCCTCTTTATTCCAGCTCATTTCGTCTGTCCCAGGCGGCACCTAGCCCCAGTGCCTGGCCCAGCAGGAGCTCGGAAAATACTTCCTTTAGGACTAAGGCCACCAGCTTGCTGCATGTGATGGTTCACACCTGTGATCCCTGCATTCTAGGGACCGATACAGAAGGATCACAAGTTCTAGTCCAGCCTAGGGAGCTTCGCAACTTAGCGAGACCCTGTCTCACAAAATTAAGAAAAGGACTGAGGATGTAGCTCAGTGTGAAGGCCCAGGGTTCAACCCTCAGTACTGAAGGGAAAAAAAAGCCCACCAGCGCTTTAAGGGCTCCTTGGCTCCCACTGCTGGGCACCTGGTGTCCGACCCGGGGCAGCCTGCCTCTCTCCTCCAGCCCCTGGCTGGCAGCCGCCGAGTCTGTGCAGCCTCCTTGTCAGCAGCGTGGAGGAGACAGGCATCATGTTTGGCCAAGTGCATCTGCCCAGGAGAGGGCCTGGCCCAGAGCCACCCACAGGGCCACCTTGTCTTCTGCTGTTCGTCCTGGTTGCTCCGTAGGTAGCACTGCAGGCACGGTCATGTCTGAGCCTCATATTACCATGACAGGACCCAGCAAGGGTCCCTCCACACGTTTCCTAGGTGCCACTAGCAGTGCCCCCCAGGAGGCCACAGGTGAGGCCTGCCTGGGCTCCGGCTTGCCTTACCTACCCTGTACCTGTCCCTTTTGCCTTTGCTTCTGCCCCTGCCTTTGCAGCCCCATCACCCTACCCTGCCCCCAACTGAAGGAGCAAGGGGAATCCACTGCTCATCTAGAGTCCAGGCCAGATCCCAATGGGGTCCAGAGGCAGGCCCGATTGTGCCTGCCAGTCTCGGGAACATGTCCTTCTCGGGGAGCATCTGGAGGGGAGCATCTTCCCAGCACCTGGGAACCAGCCACTGATCTGTCATCTCTCTTCCTGCCACAGTCAGCACCAGTCACCACTCATCCTCCTACAAGTCCAAGTCCTCCAGCAATGTGACCTCCACCAGCGGTCACTCTTCAGGGAGCTCATCGGGAGCCATTGCCTACCGGCAGCAGCGGCCAGGCCCCCATTTCCAGCAGCAGCAGCCCCTCAACCTCAGCCAGGTAAGCCCAACCCCCGAAGACTTTAGCCCCCTCGTTCTTCAGCTGTGCCCGAGGGCCAAGATCCTCACCCGCCACCCAGGCTACACCAGGAAGGACCCAGAGTGGTGTGACACTGGGTGGCTTCTCTCCCCTGGATCATTCTTGGAGGGAGGTGGAACCGTGGTAGCAGGCTGACACATAGAGGGCCTGACAGTGCCATCTCAGCCCAAGGGTGGCCTGCCTTTTGTCCCAGAGGCAGGGAGATGCCAGACCAAGAAAGAGTTTCCTAGCATCTGCACAGAAAGGGAAGCCTCCTGTCTCTCCTGCAGCTCCTCCTCCTCGCATCCTCCGAGTGCCTGGCCCCTAACAGCGCCTCTCACTGCTTGTCCTCTGCAGGCTCAACAGCACATGGCTGCGGACCGTGCCGGGAGCCACCGACGGCAGCAGGCCTACATCACTCCCACCATGGCCCAGGCCCCATACTCCTTCCCCCACAACAGCCCCAGCCACGGCACCGTCCACCCCCACCTGGCCGCCGCTGCCGCCGCACACCTCCCCACACAGCCGCACCTCTACACCTACACGGCGCCCGCCGCCCTGGGCTCCACCGGCACCGTGGCCCACCTGGTGGCCTCCCAAGGCTCCGCACGCCACACTGTGCAGCACACTGCCTACCCGGCCAGCATCGTCCACCAGGTCCCCGTGAGCATGGGCCCCCGGGTGCTGCCCTCACCCACCATCCACCCGAGTCAATATCCAGCCCAGTTTGCCCACCAGACCTACATCAGCGCCTCGCCAGCCTCCACTGTCTACACTGGATACCCCCTGAGCCCCGCCAAGGTCAACCAGTACCCTTACATATAGACACTGGAGGGGCAGCGGGAGGAGGGGCGCGGGGTCGCTTCCGCTGAAGGTGCGGCACACCAACAGTGCAAGCGGGCTGGCGGGCAGGGTGGGGGCAGGGCGCAGAGAAACTTGAACCAGGCCGTGGAGGACTTAGAGCAGAGAACATTGTAAAAGGAAGGGATTGAGGAGGGGAAGTCTATGCTTTTTATTTTAAAAAAGAAAAAGGAAAAAAAAAAAAGAAAAGAAAACATCAGTCATAGAAAAACACAGCTCATGAACCCATTCTGCATCAAACTGGAAAGGCGAAGAGAGCCACAGGAAGATCCCGGGAGCGAGGGGCCCCAGTGTCTGAAGAACTTTACCTATGAATTTTTCAGAGATTATTTTCTTATGGCAGCAAGTGACACTGAAGAAGTTGCTGTCAGGGACACCTAATGGGAAGTCTGGTAGATTTTTAATGAATTGAACAGAAGAATTAGGGATTTTTCCAGAACTCAAAAGCGTCAACGTCCTTCCAGGGTGTGAGGCCACGGCTGAATTCAGGGCCCGGGGCGCAGGGTTTGGTCTGGGGGAGCTCAGTTCCGGTGCACTTGTCAGGAGCGATGGGGAACAGCCAGGCTAGTGGGGGAGCCCTGAGAGAGGGACTGGTTTTCTCTTTCTGAGTACTCTGGACAAATCCCTAAGCAATGTTATTCCTCAGATGTCATTAATAATGTGTGTTGCAAACTTTAGTTGTTTTTTTTTTCCTTTTTTTTTTTCTTTCCTGAAGATTTATTTTCTCTTTGAATCAACCCCCAGTCATGTAGCATAGGGCTAGCGGTTGTCTCCGACACCCTAGTAGAATGTAGCACTCGACCCTCGACCCACGTCCAACTCCAGTGATACCAATGGGCTGTTCCTGTGTAGTTGCACAAAAGCTGGGACAGCGCAGGCATGGAACCAGTGCGGTGGTCCAGGCGAGCGGGTGTGCGCGTGTGGGTGCGAGCGCGGTGCCGCCTCCCTGTGTCCCCCGGCCCCGCCGTCACGGCCCTCGGTCTTGACTTCACACCATTCCCTCCTAGTGCCTTACCGAATGACAGACAGACAGACAGACGCGTGTGAGGACTTACTTCCACTGGTACGCAGCGGCGGGCCAAGCTTGTCAGCAGCTGCCTCACTCTTCCGTTGTGCTGTGGTAACATTTTACTCGGGTCTTTCCTGCTTTGTAGTTTCCTCTTTGTTTCATGCCGTTGTTTCTCTTGGGCTGTCTGCAAGCAGGATGCCAGGGAAGCTGGCAGGACCCAGAGGCCAGAATTCAAGGATCTTGAGCACTGTATGGGAGCCAGATGGTGGCGGATGCTTCTGATGACAGAAATGGTTTTTATGGAATTTCCCTTTGGGGCCAGAAACCCAGAGACACCGTACCCTTCACTCCTACGCTTCTGTGCCCCAGCTCTGCCATGTGTGGGACCTGGGGTTTAGGGGTATCACTTGGCTTTGCCAGGCAGTGGCTTCCAGCCTCCAGGCCCAGCACAGCTTCCTGTGGCCGGCTGTGGAGAGGCCCGGAGGCCAGGGCTCTGTCCCCCGTGGCCCAGCCCCTCCCTGGTGTGCTCAGACCCACACCATGCTTTTCTCTGCCGCCAGCACCGTGTAGAAGGGCTTCCACTGTAGACAACCACCAGCCTGTTCCTGCTGAACTCCTTCCTCTCATTGCCCAGATCTGCCCAAGACACGTTTGGATTTTGGTATTTGAGGGGTCTGGTGGGCAGAAGGCGGGAAGGCCGCTGGTGAGGGTGACCGTGGTGCCTCCGCTGCACTTGGGAAAACACTCGCAGACAGTGAGGTCACCAGAGTCTGCCCTGTGCCGCCTTTGTGCCTCTGACCCCTGGAGTTTTCTCAGGCTTTGAACGCTGCAGGCGGTGTGGTGGGTGGGGAGCAGTCCCAGCCGCTCAGAGTGGACAGCTCTGAAGCTGGAAACTAACGCAGCTTTCTGTGCGGGGGCGTGCTTACAAGGATGGCTGTGATTGTTTGGCCCTGGCGTGGAGTCCTTAACCCACCCTTCAGCCATGTTCCCAGGGCACAGGGGTCTTCTGCTCAGCAGCCTGTCCTCCTCTTCCCTTCCTTTACCTCCTCCCTTGCAGGCCCTGAACGATATACTGTGAAAGGGTTTTCGCAGCGATGTCCACCGTCTTCAGTAGCGAAGCCGTGACTTAGCTCTTAGCTGTGAAAGAACTCTGGAAACTTCCTCACCCCAACAATACATTCTTACTTACCTTACGCAGAAATAAGTCCCCAAGCTGGAAGTGGCTTAGGGCAGGCCTTGGGCCGAAAGGAAGGACAGCACAACCTGCACAAAGCTGGGCACGTGCTGGCACACAAAGATGTGGGGGCAGCGTGGCAACAGCCCTGCTGCAGGGAGTCTCATTCTCTCACCATGATCAGTACCAGCATCAGCCGGAGGCGAGGTGGCACCCAGCCTGAGACCAGGAGCTGGGCAATTTAGAGGGGACGATGGAGCACCCAGCTGCCGCGGACCTGTGGGCAGCAGGTGGCAGCCGCGTTCCCTGGCAGCTTCTCGTACCGAGTCGCACGGCGTCGGCTCAGCAGCCTGCGTTTGCCACCCTGGGCAGGGCGCTGGCACGGTGCAGGTCTGCTCTCTTAGGGCAAAGATGACCTGCAAGTTCTTTTCATTTCCTTTTGTCTCCTTAAAGAGAAGCTTCTCACTCTTTCTCCTGAAGTTTTCTTTCCTTTTCTCCTCCCAGACAGGAGCGAAAGTTCCATGCTGCTCATAATGTTAATATTATCATGCTGATTATTTTATTTTTGTCATTGCCATTGTAATTATGATTATCATCCCGTTGCTATTTTAGTCAGGGTTTTAAATGCACATTTATTGCAAGCATCTTTGTGTTTTCCCTTTAATATTTAAACTTATTTTATTATGTCTGTGAGTATCTGAGTAGACTGGAGGGACACACAGATGTCCAATTTTGTCAAACAAAAAAAAAAGGAAAGACCCAGGATTTAGGAAAATTGTTCCTGTCATCTCTGTTCCACAAACAGCCATCAAGAAAGACCCACCCCAGAACAAAGTTGGAAGAAGGGTCACAACCTATGTCTGCACAGTGCAGCCTAGGCTCTGCGCAGCTCAGTCCCCACAGTGTATTTCCCTGGGCTCCCAGGGAGCCAAGGCCCGAGGAGGTAGCTTGTGCGTTTGGGGCTGCTGGCACGCCCCTTGGACTACTGAACCCTTAGGCAGTGTCTTCCCCAGTTCTCTCCTCTCCTGTGCATCTGGATCTGATGGCTACACTCAGCCTGCCTCACCTCTGCTACATAAGCCACACAAGTCCCTCTTTTCCCAGAGCTGGCCCAGCACCTTTGCAAAACACTCCCCTTTCTCACGAGTACACCCCGAGTGTGGCTTACGTCCCCTCCTGTAAGCCACTGGTCACGAGAAGCTGAAGTAAAAGTTGTGGGCAGCTGGTGCCCCTCGGGACATTCAGCCCCACTCTTCTTCCGGAGGAAGCAGAGAGCCCTCAGCAAGGTCCAGCAGCTGTCCAGACATCGCAGGCCCCGCCCCTTCATCACTGGCAAATGGAGACCCACAGCATAGCCACGTAGCCAGCCCCCTGGGCTCTGACAGCCTCAGCCCATGCTGTGGGTGATGGGATGCCTGTAGGCTGCCCAGCAAGCCCAAAAGCTCCCAGCCCATATGAAGAAAGGCTTGACACAAGCCACTTCTCTGAGCCGAAGCGAGTTGTTGGGCAGGGGATAGACACTCGGCAGATGTTCGTGCCACCCCGTCCCCACCTCACATCCTCTTCTAATCCTGAGGGCGGAGCCGTTGCGTCAGAAGCTGCAGATGGAGATCCCAGCATGCTTATTAGCACCTTACCCAAGTCCCCGCTGGGTGCTCCAGTACTGGGTCCCCTAAGCAAAGCTGCCTTCCCTCAACCAAACTCAAGTGGAGACACCCACCTCCTCCCTATGTAGACCCCAAATTCCCCAGCACATCCTCTACTCTGGCATGGGCTCCACCCTTCCTCAGGGAAGAAAATGAGCAAGGAAAAGTGGCAGGGACAGGTCAGGAGAGACATCCGGTTGGAGCCTTGTGAACCTCAGGTCAACCCGTTTCTGCATGCGGAGTTCTCACTGACCTGTCTGGGCGCTGGCCCATGCATCTCTGCTTAGTTTGGGAGATTTCCAGAGGAAAGGAGTGAGCAGGCCCTGGTGGGCGAGTCCGGTGTCGATGCCAGTTAGCCCTGTGGGGTGCAGCAAGTGGTTGGCTCAATTCAGAGGAAGGACGCTGGAGCGAACGGCCAGTTGCGTCCTGGGCTGCATGGACATGTCACGCCTTCCTGGTGGCTGGGTCTCTGGGGTCCGGAAGCCAGCTGTGCTCTGTCCTCCCAGCCTGAAGTACCCAGCCTGCCCAGACGCCACCGTGTCGGTCAGAAGGTCAGGAAGGGGAGCACACCTGGCAGGATGATGTCCCTTGACTCAGTCTTGGGAGTTGCAGACACTCATTTTGGAACAAGCTCGTGGAGGAGGAATCGGGTCACGTGAGCGTGTGTGAGTGGGGAGCGCAAACGTTCTTGGAAACCGGAGTGCGGAGACGAGGAAGCTTCAGGAAGTGTTGCTGATGGTTCATGGTCGCTAGAACGACACAGGTCCCCGCCGTTGTCTGGCCGAAGGCAGGTAGGGTGGGGCACAGCTGCGCTTGCTAGCCTGCCAAGGAGCCACCAGGACAGAAAGCGGAAAGAAAATAGCTCGTTGCCCTCAACTAGCAGAGAGAATGCAACAGAGAGCGAAGGCCCATCCGCAGGCCCCGCCTGGCCCTTGGTGAGGCTGGCAGCAGCCATTTGCCACAACACAACCCAGCCCGGGACGCACAGGCTGCTTTCCCGTCCGTGTCTTTTCTTTCTAATGTTTGACAGATTTTCAAAGGGGAAGCCTCAAAATGGAGCAAGCCAGAGATGTCCTTATCAAATTGGAAAGGGAAGCAAAACTGTTCCTTTCTGTAGCCAAAGAACCCTTCTCCAAGTCACATCCAGAGATGAGAGTCTGGCGTTCCTCTCTCTCCCTTCCAGGCAATAATGACAACGTTGGTGACGCAGTTCCATTTGTCTTTCCCTTGTGTCCTTTTTAAAATTGCTTCTTTGATAGCATTTATTTTTAAATTGCACTCATCCTGGAGAGGAGTGGCAGAGACCCTACGACACGCTGCTACAGGGAAGGGGCGGCGAGCAGGCCGGGCTTGGACACCTCCGCTCCACGCCTCACGACAGTTTCTCATCTCCACACCAGACTCAGATAAATCTCAGCCAGGCCGCTGGAGACTGGAACATGGCAGAATGGGATTTAAATGCAAAAAGAAACCTCGCAAAGGCTTTTCACGCTGTGGCTTGCTTCGCAGAGGTTTCTCGCCTCTTCAGTGCCGCTGCCCAAAGACAGGAGAGCGTGGGCTGAGCCTGGTCCTTCTCTTCAGGCTCCATGAGAATGTACAGCGACGTGGCCCTGGGAGCACCCATCACACAGCCGCAGCACACAGGGCCTCCTGGCCCCCTGCTCGACTCCCACAAGCCTTTGAGAGCCCCTCATCTCAGACCCCTGCCGGACAACAGTACACACGCTGCCTCTGTTCAAACTAGCAATATCCCTTAGGTAAGGACAGCATTTGTTAATGCTTGCAGTACTGCAGGTCTTGTGCCAAGCCCCTTAGGAGTTCATCTCATGGCACCATCTCTCTCTCTCTCTGTCTCTCTCTCTCTCTCTCTCTCTCACACACACACACACACAGTTGGCAGGCAAGGCAGCTGACTTGGTGGCACGTATTAAGGAATACAGTGGTGGTCCAGAATCCCCACGTTCCTAGTCACTTTTTGTTAATCAGAACTTTACTAAAATGTGATTTTGCTTCACTTTTTTTCCACAGCAAAGCGTGGCCTCATCTTTCTGATGGCCCATCTACCAACACGCCCACGTCCTGTGTGCCAAACACTGTGTGCGGAACTGCTCCCTGGTTGTCTTATCTCATTTTGTCTTCACATTATCCTTGTGAGACCAGCAATACCAGTCCCTCTACTGAAGAGACGTCAGGTGCGCAGGGCTGGGAAACCGCCCGGGGGCCACCCGGCTAGTAAGCGGGGAACCAGGGCTTGAGCCTGAGTCTGCCGGCTTCCGGAACTCCGCATGCAACCGCCAGCCTCAGCCGTTTGCTGTGTGTCTGTTGAAAAGAAAGGCTTTAAGGAATGTCACTCTGTGCAAAAAGAGACCCTGGATTGGATACAGGCAGAGGGGCAGAAGTAGTTTGACTTCTAAGGAAAATCTCTGGGGAGTTGCTTTTGATTCCTAGAATTCCTTTTAGATTTCTTTCCAGCAAACCAACTAGCTTTAGTGATGCTGCTATAACAAACTCTTAGGAGAGTAAAGGGGAAAAAGTATTCTTTTCTTCTTTTAAAAAAAATAATTTTTCTTGCTTATAGTTCACTCTAGAAAGGCAATACTAAAGGTATATATTTTTTTCAAAATACTATTTTTTACTGCACTTGATAAATATGACAGCTCTGATCTCTGCAATAGATCCACTCTTCAGCTCTGGGCAGAACCAGAGGCAGGGTTCACACCAAATTTGTAAATACCATGTGTAGGTCTGATGTTCAGCAACGTTTTTCTTTCTGTTAAAAAAAAAAAAGAAGAGGAAAGACAAGATGGCTTTTAGAAAGAGGAGTACAATTAAATTTTTCTTTCAAGACAGATACCCTTCTCCAAGAAACAGAAAGCGACAATTATATAAATAGAAAAATGAGCCAACTTTCAGGAACTAAAGAAGAGGGGTCTCTGGCCCTGGTAAGCGATTAATGATAACGCAGATGGATTTTCATTTTGGTTGAAAGGCAACAAGAATTGAGAAATGCTTTAGGACTAGATTTTTAATTTTCCAAAGAACTATTATCATGTGCTATAAAGCATCTGCTTGGTTGTTTGGGGTAGGTTTGTTTATTGCTTCTTTTTTCTTTTAAAAACTCTGTTGACCGGCTCCGGGCTTATTCACCTAAACCCTTAGGTGGTTTACACAAGTTCTGGAATCTTTTAGAACTTTGACTCCATTGGAAGCAAACCCATCTAGTCAGAATTTGAGATCCTGGTTGGTGTCAATAGGTGTTCTGGAATTCTGACAGAACACCTAAGGATTTGTTTTAGAAGGTTTTAGATACATTATCTTACACAAACTGTGACCTAAAATGGCAATAATTACCTCAAATGTGGGCATTCATCCTGGTTTTAGCCTTTTTTGAAATCACGTAGCCAGCTTGATCTTGAGATTTAAAAAACTATGAATTCTGTGTGGGCTAAAAATAATGATTAATGCATACCCTGGTTGTTGCTTAAGTGAATTCTGACAATAGTTCATCTTTACAGAAGAAATTAAACCGAGGAGGAGGTGATTCTTTGTGTGTTGTAATCAAATATGTTTCAACGCACACGCGGCGTATGTGCTCTTAGCTACTGTAAAATGCTGTTTAGCCTTCGGAGATACCAAGTGAGTCTCACTTTAAATGAGTAAACGAAGTAATTGACTATGGATACTTCAGCATATTTCTGGCTACATTTTATAGTTAAAGTGTTTTATAGTTTACATTTAAACTGGTACTTTTTAAAGAAAATTTCTGTTTATAACTGACACCTCCAAATCCCAGCAATTGCCTCCGTAGGAGGAGGCCGTGTCTCCCCAAGGCAAGTCTGTTCTGCCTGTGCTGTCCTGTAGCCCAGTGTGTGCACTCCCCTCCGTAACATTGGTGTCCAGGTGAGCTTAAGAGAATGAGAAAGGAAGTCAGGATAGAGTGGGAAGGGTCGGGCCCCAGCCGGGCCAGAGGTGGGGTCTCATCCGTATCAGATCCACGCTTGTCTGCGGGCCCCTGACACCTTGGAAGAGGTGGCAAAAACTGACCCCTGCTCCATTGAATTTTTTTTTGTCTTGATTTGAATATTTCACTTGTTCATAGATCCACTCGCTTCCACCCACTGGGCAGTAAAAAGACACTGGGATTCAGGTGGCCCCAGAGACCCGGCTGCTACTTCCTGGGCCCCCCAGTGATAGTCTGAGCAATGTCGCACAAGAGAACAGCACACCCCATGCCTGTACTCACCGGCTGGGGTTTCTGTGCATCTGCTGTCTTGTATTCATTCTCTCCTTTGAACAAAATCAGTGCAAAAGGACGCGTCTACTCTTCACCCATGGTCAGGCGGAGCTGTGAGGCCCGGCTCAGTGGGCGTGAAAAGTAGGATCAGTTCAGAGACTGTGAGCTGCTGAGCCCAGGGAGCTGGGGACACAGGGGCGCTCGGGCTGGTCCCCCAACGCCTGGTGCGCAGAGGGGCATGTGACAATGAGAGCACTTCAGGCGGACTGGGAATGCCAGCTTCCTGAAGTCTTGCTTGGTTTTTATTTGCTCTTGTGCCACCACCGAAATCTGGAGGAGCTGCTGTGACCTCAGGTGTGGTCCATCCCTCTCACAGCTGTGACCTCGAGAGCGGCAGAACCCTGGGCCCGGGGAACTCTCTGTTCCCGCCACAGCTTGGCTGTCCCCGGCCACCGCAGGGCAGCAGGGTCTCGTCTGGGTTTCTTGGTTAGGACTGTTACTGTGGAGTACTCTTATCCACCCTCCTACCTGTCTCCCGCCTTCGTGTGTGCATGTGCGTGTGTATGTGTGTGTGTGCTTTTCCTTTGCACTAATTAACCAAATGAATTTTGTGTCATTGTCTTTGGGGCTCACCCATATTTTTAAAAACTAGAGGTATAGAAATTGGCTCTTTTTTATTACTTGAAAAGTGTGTTGTAAAGAGGGCTCTGATATTGCTCTCTTAGCTCCCTTTCAACCAGGTCTCCAAACGAATCTCTCCTGGCACTGCCCCCCCCAACTTTCCTTGTGTTGGGTCACTGTCCCCGTGGCCACCCCTGCCTCGCCCTGCTGTCACCACAGCCCCATGCCCAGGCACCCGGGACTTCAGGAAGCTCGAGAGCCAACCCGAAAGGCCCCGCTGGGCTCCAGGGACGCCGGGCTGTGCGTGAGCCCCCTGGTTCAGCTGAGGAGGAGGAAGTTGGGAAGTAGAAAGTGACTGTGCCGTCTCTGTAGCCTTTGCGGCTTTGCATGGAGCTAGAGCATCCCCACCCCGCCCTTGCAAGGCGATGGCCCTGTGTGCACCCCCACAGCCCTCCGTGGCCCTGCTCATCTCAAGCTTCCTTCCGTGCTTTCCCAGGGCACAACCATTTCTAGCCCCCAAAGCATCTCTTCACCCTCTCCATGTGCATTTTTTTAACCAAATGAAGTAGATGAGAAAGGCACACTCTGGGGCCGCAGAAGCCCTCGTTAGTGGAATCACTGTATAGATAGAGCTGTTGATATATATGTTTGTGTATATATATCAAACCAAATTCTGATAGGAGAAGATAGCTTTATGGCTGAGGAGGAAGCGGAGCCCTCTAGAGGTCGGAGCCAGCCTTAGCACGCGCGTCCCCGCTCCTTCCTTCGCGGGCCGTGGGGCTGGGCCTGGGGCCCACGGCGCTCTCTGGTCCCCAGCATCAAGGGCACCGAGCAGGACGAGGGGTGGCCGGTCAGAATGACTGGAAGTTTCCATCCCATTTTGCTTTGACCACACATATCGAGCTGCAGCCTGATATTATATCACATTTCCAAAAATGATATCCATTACGATGGAAAGAGAGCGGATCTGTAGAATTGTTTACCTTCCAGCTGCCCACGAGTTCAGGACACTCTGGATGGACAGGCACACTTGCCAGAAAGCCAGGAGGAAGAGGAGGCCCGGCGACACCCGGGCCCCAGCCCTAGGCACACGCTCCCTCCCGAGGTCCCCTCGCCCAGGTCTTTCTCTACCGGCTCACCTTAGCTCAATCTCAAAACCCCACGAGGCCCTGGTCCGTTGTGTTTCTCACTGTACGGTTTCTGTATTAAAAGTGTTAATCCATGTTAATCTGTGTGAAAATTATTGCGTGCAACAGTATTTTCTCGTGTACCTCTTTTCCCTCTGTGAATTGTCCCACTTTTCTTTTTTATTTATAAACGTCTACTTTTTTAAAAGACAAACCAATGTGTTGTAGACCTCTATGTAACTATTCCTTAGTCTCATATTATAGGTATGTTATAAGAATGGATATTTTACTTGGCTTTAGAATGTTTTACAAGAAAACTAATTCTTAACTGATCAAGTCCTTGCTACTAAAATGCTTGTGTTCCTTCATCATGATGTCGTGTGCTTCTAAATTAATAATCATTTTCGTTGTAGAAAAATGGAGTGAATTTATATTAGTCTTGGAAACTAATAATAGCATTGTAAATTTATGAGATGATTTTAACAGAAAAAATTATAGAAGAATATAGTTATTTTAATTGTAATATTACTAACTGTAGGGTGAGAAGGGGGGTCCTGTTGTGGTGAACTATGTTATAGCTTGTTACAGTTTCTTTTGATCATTTTTTCGGTCTCTGAGGTGAAATGAGTTATTAATTAAAATTTGTAAACTCACATATGCATATTGTATATGTGTAGAAATGTAATCACACTTTGTCTTGGAATTACATTAAACTGTTTGGAGTCACTGTACGCTCTGCCTGGCATGCTCCTTTGTCCCACAGCCGCGCGGGTCAGGAGGCTGGGGAGGTGGCCGCGGCAAGGACAGCTCCCGGCCTCGGGTACGATGCGCAGCCCGTCACCACGTGGAACGCTGACAGGAGGACCGGGCGCTGCAGGTGGCGCTGAGCTCCTTCTGCTGATGCCTGTGCAGCTGGGGTAGCCTTCACCCACACTGTCCCCGCACTCTGTCCCCACAACCCAAGGCACATGTCGTCCGCTGTCCTGTGAGCTGGCCAGCGCCTGACCTTCCATCAGCAGTGTCGGGCAGCTGGGGAGCACCCCTCCCGCAGAAAGCCTAGGGCCCCACGTCCTACTCCACCGTGGTGCCCATCTTCCTGGGTAGCTCCTTTTTCCTAGTTATAGTAAAATTCATCACCAGGACCATTGTAAGTGTACAGCGAGTAGCATTCCCAGAACTTCATCACAGACAGAAACCCGCACCATAAACAGTAACCTTCCCTGCCCCCTCCCTCAGCCGCTGGCCCCCACCATCCCGCCTTCTCCGCTGAGAGTGCCTCTGCTGAGTGTTTCATACACATGGAATCCTCCCACATTTACCCCTTGGTGTCTGGCTTAATTTAGCCAGATGTCTTCAAGCTTCATTCATGTTATAGCCTATATCAGAATGGCCTTCTTCAGGGCTGAGTGGTATTCCACGCATGGATAGGCTCTTTTCGGAAGCAAGCTTGGGTCGCCACCCTTTGTGGCTATTGTGAACGGTGCCCCTGTGAGCTCCGGTGAGCGAGTATCAGCGCAGATCCTGCTTTCCATTCTTTTGGAGATACACGCAAGGGAATTACTGGACCATATGTAACTGCTGACATCCTGGGGAACCATCACACTGTTCCCCATGATAGCTGTGCCCTTCGCAGTCCAGCCAGCCACAAACGGTTCCGGTTTCCGCCCCAGTGCCTGTCCTGTCAGCCATCCCCCTGTGCCCTGTGCCTTGGGCCCTCCGGATCCCCCAGGGGTCTCGCTTCCCGGCCAGGCCCTCACTGCACCGGCTCCCTGCACCCCTTGCTGTGCCTTCACCAGGCAGCACAGAGCCTGGGCTGCTAGCCAGGGCCCCTCAAGGCCACCTCAGCTAAGCCCCGCCCCTGGTAGCGGCCTCCCCCCTCCCCCGCTGTCGTATCCTCAGAGCCCCTCACCCCCCTGCACCCCGCCATCCGGGGACCTTCGCTCCTCCAAAGCATCCCTCCTGAGTCACCTCCCCTGCAGAGCTCGCCCTCCTTAGCTCTGGGCCCTGCTGACCTGGGTTTCCAACCTCACGACTGATCCCTCTCACCCCCTGCCTCACTGGCAACACCTCTATCTTCCTCCACTGTGGAGCCATAGAACCCTTGATGTCAGGATTCGTCCTCCATCTCTGCTTCTGGGCCTCGGTGACATGCCAGGCCGAGCAGGTGGCCAGTAAATACTCGGGGGAAGAACAAACTGCTCAGCCCTCCTTTCCCCCACCAAGCTACCTGTGCGCCTTCCGAATCATGCACAACCCTAAGCTACCAAGGAGGCTGAAGCAAGAGGGTTCCAAGTTCCTGGCCAGCCTGGGCAAGTTAGCGAAACCTTGTCTCAAAGTGAAAGAGAAGGAAAGAGAAGAAGGAAGAGGGTTGGGGATGTCGCTCATCAGTAGATCACCCTGGGTTCTATTCCCAGTACGAAAAAATAAACATCAGCTCAGCCAGGACTTCAGATTACACAAAAATCTACACAAATAATTTTGACCAAACCAGAACTCGTCCGTCACACATTTTACTATTTATTTTTTAATTAGAACAGCACCTCCAGGATTCCTATCTGTGGAAAGAGGTAGGGAAAACAGCTCACTCAAGTGCGCCCAGGTAGTTATTGAAATCTAAAGGGAAAAAACAAATGAACCTTTCTTCCAGATATGTTGATTGTCTCAGGTATTTTGTCATAGTAACAGAAAGCTGACTAACATGTTACTGTCAATGCACACTCGATACTAGGGGAATTAAGAAGGGTAAGGTACTCACTTGAGCCAACGTGAGCCAAAGCAGAACTCTAGACCCTATAACAAGAGCACTTTCCTGGCTGTTAAATGGTGCTCTCGGACCTGAGGGGGATCTCTGGCTCCCAGGTCACAAAGCTCCCTTACTTTTAGGTGGGTTGCTGGGTGGTGGAGGCCATACCCTACCCTGTTCCTAACAGCCAGCTCTGAATGTGAGGGTTTTGTGTGGGACTCTGGCTTCCACATCTTCAATACTGAATGTGTATAAAGCACAGCACATGGGAGGGAGCATTAGACATAGTGCTGGCACATCTCTGTCCCGTGAGCTCCCTTTCAGTCTCTGCCTCCTGCTCTGAGTCAGGGAGGGAGACTCAGACCTCTTCCCTCACCTTCCACACGCCCTGAGCGACCAGCGCAGGCCATGCACACCTCCTGCTAGGAAGGAGGAGTGGGGGGCGGGCTCCATGGGGTCTTGGTGCTCTCTAACCTCATCTGAGAATGAAAACATCCCATGCCAAAACCAGCCTGGACCTCATCTGTAAGCAAGAAACAGCCAGCAGGAGCAGGGCCTTCCCCAGCATCTGAGATCAACCATCCATTCCTTCTGTCATGCGTTCATTTAATTATTTTTGGTATTTAGGGTCTCACTTTGTAGCCTGGGCTCAAACTCTTGGGGATCCTCCTGCCTCAGCCTCTGGACACTGGAATTATAGGCATGCAGCACCACGCCAGGCTGAGATCAGCCATTCCTTAAGTGCGCTTGTCTCACATGTGCACATCTGTAGAAGGTGCAAAGTTCTTTCTCCGGTGACACTGTATTTGATGCACTTCTAAAACAATGCTAGGCTCGGGTACCCTTGTGCTGAAACCCCGGCGCCCCCTCGTGTCTTCCTCTATTCTGTTTCAGTGTTGTCTTTCAGTTTCATAGCCGTGGCTCTCAGAACCTTTATCCAGGGATAGGGGTGCTGGTAAGAGAACCGATTAGCTACTGAAGCAGCGAGGAAAAAAAAAATCCACGCTTGGAGAAAGCCCTGCCGCAGGTCACAGGCCACAGAGAGGCTGCCGCGGGTTTGAAGCTGTCACAAGCCGCTGAGGCATGAGGGAGAAGGCCGGGGAGCAGCCAGGCGGCTCAGGGCGGCCCGGGCTCAGACAGCGCTGGGCTCAACTGCAAGCTCCGCTGTCGTCCGCCGGCGGCGTCTGGGAACCAGCTCACCTCTGGCTCAGCTGTGTGAACTGTAAGGTGGGAATCGCGTCGCGTGCGGTGAGAACCGGCTGATTATTCCCCAAGCGCAAACCAAGCCCCGGCCTCATCCTCCTGAGCAGCCCAGTTTTATTTCTGGCTTTCTTCACAGAGAAATATTACCAGGCCTGAGCCCCACCTACAACCCTCTCACACAGTTACTTGCACTGTCTCCCTCAGTTTCCGGCCAGATGGGAAAGATCTAGGGAGGGGGATCCTGAGGCCCCCGAGACTGCTGGGCCGCTGGAGGCCCTGTAGCCCCGACCCCAATAAAGCCCTGTGGGACAAAAACACAAAAGAGCAAAGCACAAGCCTTTTTATGAGTACACCCCTGAGTTTTTAGGCTTCTTCACTGCAGCAATTAGCCTACCTTTATATAGAAATTAGTTCCTCAAAGTGGAGTACTTGTGTAACAAAATCTAAAATAAAATACATGGCACTGGCTTAGAAGTTGATCAGAAAAAGGAAACTGATTTCAGGGGGTGGACAGATGACACCTCCTGTTGTGCCTCAGTGAAAGATGGGGTGACCCACTGCCACCAGGAAGCAGGCCACGTCACGACTGACTCCGTTAGCTCCGAGAGAAGTGCTAGGGAAAGGTTAGAACGTGCACCTTGGCTTCCTTCAGGAGGATTTTATAAGAGAGAGAGGAGCTTCAGAAAAAACAAGCCCAGCTGCACGATGGAAACAAGACACAATGGAATTCAAATTTCGGGAGGCTAAAGAAGTGAAGGAGTTGCATCAATAAAAAATAAGATGGCAGGGAGTATGGGTGACACACACCTGTGATCCCAGCACTCTGGGAGGCTGAGGCAGGAGGGTCACAAGATCAAGCTCACCCTGGGCAACTTAGCAATTTAACCAGACCCTGTCTCAAAAAACAAATAGGGCTGG